ATTTAATAGACGTATATTTTTTCCTGTGGTTTTTTCCTTTTCTCATTATTTCTTTCTATCCTAGAGAAATTCCAATGTTTCTTGTTTATTATTTAATAAAAATTAAGCCAGAAAAAAATATTCTTATTATAGATATCTCAGTTTTTTCGAGCGACTTGCTTGATTTGTGTTTTTTTTGCTCTCAAAAATATTAACGTTAAGATTTTAGCAGAGAATTTTATTTTCAGTAGTTGTACGATCTTCTATTTTAACAAAGCATTAAGGCACTACATTTACATGCGAATTGCTGCATATTTCTTGGCCGAAATTGATAATCAAGAAATATCCACAGTGTTTCAAATTTGTAAAACAAGTTGTATTAATAAAATAAAACCAAATACAATTCTCTTAATAGATGAAATTATGTTTATTTGTATACAGCGTGCCTTATTTTGGAAAACCAGACATCTGTTTTTTTAAATAAGTTGTAATGAATAAAGTTTAATGATATGCAAAATAAAAAATTTTTTTTAAAAATGTTATTCCACTATATCCAAAAAATATTTATTAATGATGAAAACAAAATAGATATATTATAAAATAATGATATGGCGAACTAAATTTAATCAATTGTTAGCCTAAGCGTTATATTATGTGTGATGATTTATAACGCAAAATAATTATTCAAAGATATTGAAAATCATGATGAAAAACATTATCCGAGAAATTTTTTGAATAAAATTTCTTATAATTCCATTAATCATTACTATTGTAATTATCAATCCTTTTTGTCATAATTTTTATAAAAAATTAATTAAAACATTTAAGAAATACGAACTCATAATTTTTCAAGTGCGATTCATATTGTTATGAAAAAAAAAATTTTTTTTTATAACATTAATTTAATAATACAGTATATCGAACAATTAAATTTAATTAAAGCAAAATATAATTTACTAATATTAAAACAACTGTAAAATGACTGATGAATAGATGATATAATGATCAATTTGTAGCAGCATATCTTGATAATTGACCAGTTTCATTTATGAGCTTGGATATGCCGGAAGTAACAGACTGATGAAAGTGACTAAATGTCTTCTATTATACAATATTTGCAAAGTATTGGTTTGTTCTTCAAAATTAGTCTTTTATTTATGGCCCAAATAAAAATTATCAAAGGATGCTAATTAAAGCAGACGATTACTATTTAAAGAAGACAATATCAGATGAATTTGTCATTGAGAACCAGTAGAATAAAAATATTAATTATTTCAGATCTATTTGTTGTTTTTATTTGCCAGATCAAGGGTTTGATAAAGATAATAAGCGAAGGCATGACACCAAAATTCTTAGATATACAGTATTCCTAAATAAAGTTTTACGATAAAACAATGAGAATGTAATTAGATCTTTGATATATTTAAGTTAGTATGGGTGCCTTGGATTTAAGTCAATTGAAAAATGTTTATTATGAGCACCACTCTTATTATTTAAAAAAATATGATACACTATATTTTATTTAAAATTGCAAATACGACATGACTAAAAATCATTCTTAAAGATCTAAAATTAAAACTAGTTTTGTGAAGACCTAATCTATTCAAGAGCAGTGTTTAATGTATGCAGTAGCTATACGAGGAATAATTTTTTTATTTTCTTATTTACCACAATACAGTATTATCTTTAGAAAGGGCATACTATAAAAGGCAGGAAATAATTTTTATTAATTCCTTTCATCCGAGCGTACTGTATATTCTTTTGATAAATTTCTTTTACTTGCAGGCTTGCTGCCACCATATTCTACCATTTGATATCAGTAAATGTTATTAAAAACAAACTTGGGGATTAAGCTTTTATTTTTAATTGCTACTAAATTTTTTCGAAAATTTAATTTAATTTTATTTTGACACATTGGCGCTTAATATTGACACAACCTATTCCTGTAAATCAATTTCTTGACAAATAATTTTTAATAATAATAATTTTAAATTTCCTCGCAGTAGAATTTATAAATAAGTATTTCAAGTAATATTTAAAGAGATCTCGTAGATTCAAGGGGTCGCTCAAAGGGAACCAAATACTGTAAATGTGTTTAAATGTTTGCTTGTTCTAAAATTCTTGATGCATACAAATTCCTTGTTTTTTGTAAATTATTAACAAATTCAATAAGCATAACACTGCACATATCCTAAATATTACATTCTTTCCTGCAAGCGCAAAAATCAATAATATGATGTCAAAATTTGCATTACATTAATCGAAAGTAAAATAAAGTTGCGTGCTCATTGCAATTGTCAATTCAAAATGCCTTGTTTTCGTCATCATCCGAATCCAATATATAGACAGTTGGTTCGGGCTTTACTCTTTTAGATGGAGAGAATGAAGTAAAATCAATAATTTCACAATCTTCGTCTTTCACAACAATCACTTCTCTCGACCGCTTTGCCAAGTTGTTTCCGCGGTTAATTTCTTCCTTTACATCCTCCTTCGTTTCAACCATAGAATCGCCGATGGAAAGACTTCCATGTTCCTGTGTTGGCAAATTTAAACCGCGGAGAAGGAACCACGACGCGGGACGATAGTGAAGGCACAGACAGGCTATTGGGCGTTTGTTTGTGCGTGTATATTTAGATTCCCCCAAACCTCTACCTTCTCTCTCTTCAAATGCCGTGGTAATACCAACATTCAAATTTTTCTTTAACTCTGGGACTTTAATTTGAACGCCATCGTGTCCTTTTATGTTGTAAACCATTTTCTTTGTAGCCTTAGTTGCATCATAAAATTTAGTGGTAATACAACCTGGGGTCCCAACTATTGAAATTCCTTGGGACTCATCATTTTCAGCCCAAATTGTGTTGGCAAATCTGAAATCAAACTCCTTGCTCCCATTTGCATTATGGAACGATTTTTGTACTCTAAAGGAAGAATTTGTAAGGGTACGACAAGTATCATCAAAGTTTCCATCTATATATGTATGGGTCATTATTGGATTCTTTTCGCTAGCATTTCTAGCGGAATATCGAATCTCGTATTTTACACCGGGTTCTGTCACCACCGCATAAGTGACAAGATCACTATGTACAGTATATACTTGGTATTAGTGACAGGTGGAATGTATTTGTAAGTCGTTGACCAAATCTTCCTACCTGTATTCGCATCCATTAGAGGTTTTGTTCACGACATACGTTCTTTCGTAATTAATCTCCTGTGAACATAAAGTATAGGCACACGGTTTATAAATTAATGGGTAATATATCCAAAAATTTTCTTGCAACTTACATTGATTTCGCTAAAGGGTAGATCATGCTCTTCTAAAGGTTGTCCATTTACCAAAAGTTCTAAAGTGAAGTCCTTAAAATGCATCTCTAAGTGTATAAGAAATGCTGTATGAGAAATGGTTCGCCCGGAAATAGTAAAAGGTCATAGCATTAATAAAAAAAAAAAAAAGGAAATTTAAGTCTGACATGTGTTCATAATTATGCATCATTATTAAGTATCACGCGATATCCTGCGTAATTTCTCCGCTTAGAATTTATTCTTTCATTAATATACCTTTTCTCACGGTAGATGACTTGGCAAATTTATGAAGTTTGTTCAACCCCGAATACTGTATAATAAAAGTCGTCATATTGTATTAGTCAATTTTTCCGGTCACTCATTACTGTAATGCAACAATGTTATTGCATTATTATAAAAAACAATAAGTTTAAATTCGAGACCTTTGAATTTTCATGTCTTTTTTTATCATATTAATATTAAAATTAATTGAATTTTTTTTAACGTTTATTTAAATTTTTTATTTTTATATATATATTTTTTATTTACGGTATGAAACATTCGCTTTTAAAAAAAATTATTGTACTATTTTTATTCATAAGTAAAAAAGTTTATTATTTAATTAATTCTTATAATCTTGACCTATGATATATATTTTAACAAATATAATAAAAAAGTTTTAAATTTTTTTGATTTTATACAAAATGGATTTTATTAAAAAATCAAATAATAAAAATAATTCGAAATAAATTTAATAAAATAATTTGAGATAAATCAAACATATAAAATCAAATAATAAAAATAATTTATTAAATAAAAATACAAAAAATAAAAAAACCATGATTTTATATAATTGAAAAAATTTGTATTGAAAATTTATATTTTTATGTAATTGAAAAAATTTGCATCGAAAACTTATATTTTTATATAATTGAAAAAATTTTTTTGTTTATAAATTAAAAAAATATGAATATAACAAATATTTATTTTTTAATATAATAATCTTTTTTATAATCAAATAAGTAAAATATCTTTATTAAATCTTTATAGAAAACAAATAATATATAATAATATATTGTATTATATAAATTATTTCATTACTTTGAATACTTGTTTTAAACTATATCCTTAACTTTAGAAATAAAAAAAATTGTTTTTTAATATTTATTTACTTATATAATTAAAAATTAAAAATTAAAAATTATTTTTTAAAATTTTTTATTAAAATTTTTTAATATATGTAATATTTTTTAAAAACTTAAATAATTAAGTAATAATTTTTTTTAGAATTTAATATATTAATTTAAAAAAAATTTAAATAAACAAATTTTAATTTAAATAATTAATATATTAAATTTTAAAAAAAATAAATCTTATCTATTATTTATTATAAATAATATTTTTTTTTATGAAATTTGTATATTTTTAAATATATATTATAATGAAAACAATACTTTTTATATATAATAGTAATATAATAAATTAAATATTAACTTATTTACAATAATTATAATTATAATATATGATCTGTAGGTCTATAGTACAGTGGTTAGTATTCTATAGGTCAGATCACAAAATATCAGTTCAACCCTCAGGTAAAAGCAGTTGAATAGAATAAATATAGTATTTAATATTATAACTTGTAAAGTGTCATTTCTCAATACAGGCTAATTTACATGCAGATCCTGCAGGCAATGAGATTGTGACTATCAAGAAAAAAGTGTTGTGACTAAGGATGGGTTTCTAAACTATTTACCATATAAAATTTCACAGATCAATTATGTCCCTTTTGAAAAAACATAATTATTTTTTTATTTTTTTTTTTTGAAGGAGCAATTGGCTATCGCGCTATCGTTTATTATTATAATTTTAGACTTGCGAGTTACAAGATTTACAATATGGGAAGTATGACATACATCTCTCTTTGCTAGGAAGAGTTAAATGTAGGACCTGTAAAGGTCACCCCTACGCTCCTTGGCACCATTCAAGGAATACAGTAAAAAAGAATATTTAAAACCTATATTATAGCCTTAAATG